AGTCAGTCTTTCTCATTCTTGGTGTGGCTTAGTGCCCTACACACACGTGAATCGAGATGAACTGCATTTTTTACATTTCATTTGCTGCTGGTACCTATGGAACCTGTTTGGGAAATTTCACGCCTTTAAAGGGTGTGACCTAATAATCACACTATAAAAGACCTCACCTGCTCTCAAGCATACAGCTTAACTAATGTTAAAGTCAAACAACTTTGATCATAATATCTGTAAGGAAGGAGACACTTTTATAGAACAATCATCATGGGGCAGGAGCACTACCACTTTTCCAGCAGTTCCATCATTCGAAAGCATCTCCACTGTAGGCCGGCATACAGAAGGATTCGACATCAGATGCTCATTACATCAGAGTATCATAGCTGCTCCTGCCCCAAGCATTACTGTGGGATCAGCCGCTGTGAGTTACTCTGATCTGCTTGTATTAGTTTAGGATTATATTACGTTTACATTTGACAGGGTTTAAATTAAGACAAGAGAGGCCTTAATCCAGAATAGTTAACCATGGCTTTAAAAAATGGCTTTCTGAAACAAAGATTACATTTAATTTGCTGCTGTAGCTATTTTTATTCGTCTTGTCAAAATACTAAATTCGTTTGACATTTTTCCGTTAACACGGTAGGAAAAGTGTTGCAGAGAAAAATAAATAAATATGACATCTTTCATTTAAAATTATAGGCCTAGCAAAATATAAACAAAACCGAGTTGAACGTCCTTCGAAGACAGGCATCCACACTTTGCTCCATCCTTATTCTGCTCTGTCACTCATTGACAACCTGCCTGTTCTATTTGAAGGCCGTATATTTACCACCGGTACAGCCTGCTCTGAGCATCGTTATGCACATGCTGCGCACAGACCACACAAATAAAACGCGTGACGTTTAAAGCATGCGTGCAGCGCGTGCATAACAGTCCTGAGCACAATCTATAAGAATGGTAATTCCAAGCTGTAAACTGGTCTATTTGCTTGTTAAGTCTGACATCACGTGTCTCCGCTTCCATGTCCAAAAGCTCTATCAGACACCACGAGAAAACAACAAAAGGTGCTAATATACACTCACAATGTGATATAATACTACCAAAAATAATTATAATCCTAACCTTTAACTCCATACCGAAATCCCAGATAGCCAGACAATGAAATATAAATATAAATAAATATAAAAATGATTTATGTTTGGGACGCTGTGAGCTTGGAGACTGTAGTAT